CTGCCCTCACTCCCTGCCCCCAACTCTCCATTAGTACTGACATTGTTAATATTCTCAACTCCCTTCCTCCTTGACTACAAAAAAGGTAAGCTGAATGCATTCCTGAAGAAAGAGCCAGACAGTATAAGACAATCTCTAGCCTGTCTCTGTCTTGGGTAGGAGTCAAAAACATCAGGAAGGGTTTCAACATTGTTGTCATGTTGATCTCGTCTCTACAACAAGGTTAAGAGCAAGTGCAGACTACATAACCAGAAAGTAGAAACTAGATAGCAATACTACCCTGAGCAAGAACTTCAGGTGAACACCCTGCATCTGATAATTCTGGTAAGGGGCAACTGGGATTGAAAAAGAGACCAGTGTTATCTCTGTGTCCTGTCAAGAGATTTTTCTATTGGCTACACCCACACACTTACACACACAAACACTTTTGAAGAAAAAGTATTCCTCATCTATAGCCACTTCAGTTTCTGCTCTCTTAATCCCTCCTTTTCATATTAAATCTGCCTACCAAACTGACAAATAATGCTCAGCACTTGTAACTTCTGTGTAACCTAAACTCTATTCAACTGCAGAAATATCCTTTGAGGCAGCATATTCTGAAGACAGATTCTGCCCTCAAAGAGGGAGGGATTTCTTCTCCTTGTAAGTTTACATACCTTCCTCACAACAAGCATGATTATAATTTTTGAAAAACAACGTTCTGTCAAAACTCTATGTGATGACACTAATATGGACCAAGGAGTCAATTGGTTATTCCAATCAAGATTTAATAAGGTGGGAATTAAATTCACACCCTTCCTCTTAGTTTTTATATTTTCAGAAAGCCTCATTGCAGAGAAACTCAATGCTTCCCAGAATATGAGGGTTTTTTTCTTCTTGACTTCTTAGTAAAAGCAAATGCTTTTCTATCAGATTAATTAAACCTTTCTCCCACTGTCTTCACTGGATTTGATTTTCAATCTCTGCTTGCACAATTACTTTACATTAAAGAAACAACAAACCAATTATTTTTGACCTAAGTATTTTCTCCTAGCCTATGCAAAATACTCTAAATCTATGTATGTTTGAAGAATGCTTTTTCTAAGTGTAACCTCCTATTTTATTTCCTATCAAACTACAGGTCAGGTAAAATGTGTCATTTTCTATGAAAAGACATACATTTTCCTAACATGTTACAGCGATCAACTGGTGCACCTGAAGTCTTCAGAGGGTCTAGCTTTGAAACAACTGCAAGAGGAAAGATTCCCATGTATCAAAATACAAATACTATACACGCTAGTTCAAACAAGCATTTACTAAAGGGAATCTTCATACATCTCACAGGAAAAAAAAAAAAAGCCTACGACACTGAAAGTTAACATTCAGAGCCTTGCATCCACCTAGTCATCAAGGTAAAGAAGCTGTGACACAAATAGTAGTCTAGCAGAAGAAGAACGATTTCAATAAAAAAGGTACAAACTAGATGTAAACATCAAAGGCTCCTGTGTCAGGGAAATGAAGCAAAAATCACTATGGTAACCCACTAATTTTTAGTTCTCAACCTAATGATCATCTGAGGAAATAAAGAAAAAAAGAAATACCATTCTGATATGGTCTTTAAGTAAAGATGAAAATGTCACAAAGTAGGCATTCTTCTTTACCTGAAAACAGCAGCCTCATCCTTCCAGTTATTAACCCTTACATAAACGACTCTTTCTCAGCTAGTGCCAAAAAAAATTACCATTAAAGCAAGAAACACCAATTCAGTAAAAGTTAATGAGTAACATTAATATAACTGATCTCTTTCAGTTCTTTTTCTGGTGTAGGGACACTGAGACAGGGGAACTTGCTTTTTCATTTTGAAATACTATTTTGGGAAACTTTAGCATTTACATTTATGATGTCATATCAGAAACACAAATGCTAAAAGTCTACCTTTGCCAGTGTGATACAGAGACACTCTGGTCTCCCTATGATTTTTTCAGGTATCACTGATCTTAGACAGTATGGAAACTGGGATGCTAACAAACTTTCTGCATTCAAATCTACACTTTTAGAGAAATTTCCTCATTTGAGAATTTCTGAAGTTTTTTCATTCAGAAGCTGTCATTATGCAATTTTACATTAATTCACGAAAATATTCAATAAAATTATTTTATGTAAATAATTCTTGGTCTACAGCTTGTTTATTCACATTTGACTGAGCAAACTTACACTTGTGCTAGTTACACTGACCTGGAGATAAATCACATGAGGTTTTTGTTTGCTTGTTGTTGTAGTTGTTGGTTTTAATTCTGTGATTGGCCAAGAGACTATTACTGGTGTAAATAGTGACACTATTAAATGCCCAAAAGATTTTGCTTAGAATTAACATTTCTGGAAAGACTCTAATCCAGCAAGTCACTGACTAAAATGTTCTTGAAAGTATACACGAAAAGAACATATTCTGCTTTTTCTAAGATGACAAGTTTTAACTTAACTATAGATGTAGATTTGGCTTTGGAACTGGCTTGCCAACCTATGCTCCTTCTCCACTTCATCAGGTTTCCTGAGTGTACACCAGGACGGTGTGCATAAATAGCTCCTGGGTTTTGAAGCAAAGGAAAGGTACTTAATGTACATTTCATAACTCTGTCAGTCTTACAAAATGTCTGTAATATCTGATACATAGAACAAAAGTCCTACCCTGAAACAAAAATAAATTATACGCAGATGTAGTTCCACTGAAAAACGAGGAGCCAGGCAAATACCACCTACAACACCACTGCAAGAAAATCTGATATTGGTATGAATTGTATTATTTTTCATGTTACATGTTTGATGAAATCAGGAAAAGAATTAACCTGGGTTAATTCTGTGTTAATGCTACATATTTCATAATGTAGTCTATAGCTACTCAGATAGATGAAACTACTGTTTTACTTATGAAAATAATATTGGTAATGTAAGCTGATTAATTCATGGGAATGATACTCTTCCAGTCACTATAAAAGTTAAACTTTAGGCTTTTCATTTCAAGATGAAATGAAAAAGGTCTCTATTAGGGCCACATCTCAGACTAATGACTACTTAGTCATTAGTAAGTAAGATTAACTTAGGGTAGTTTAAATCATATGCCTTTCATAGAGTATGCCTGTATCTAACAATTCCCCTTTTCCAAGTGGAGTGGAACAGAGGCATTCCTCCCTTCAAAGTCATCTTCCCATTTAAAGAAACTGTTTATCAGATGCTGGTCATTTACTAGCTTCAGGACAGAACACCAATTACAGCACATCAGGCCAAGTTAAAAATTATGAATTGCACACTTAAAATTGGAATTAAGTTCCAATCAATTCCGCAGGCGTTAAGCCAATGTTTCAAGTCATGGTTATATACTGGCATGCTGAATAAAAGCCCTTTGCTGTTTAACTCAGCCAATGAAGAACACAAGGAGGCACTGGCTTAACCAAGAGGACAGCAGACTACTGGAATCAATATCTGTCTGCAAAAGAATTAGATAATCAAAGAAACTGAACAATGTAAATTAAATTAATTATTGGAATAATTACTTTGGCATTATATTTTCAGTGCAGACATGTTCTCCCAAAGAAACTGTGTAAAATTTATTGCAAGTGCTAAACTGCTAACTCATGTTCTGTCCACCCCTCAAAAAGCACCCAGCTGGAAACATTCTGAAAACATGGCACATATGTATGCACTATTTCTTTTAATATCACTTCATCTGCTCCTGCTGGATTTTACAAGAACAAATATCCATTCAAATGTTACAACTACAAACAATACAACTACAAACACAAAGTACTTGTGATGATTTTTTCCTAGATGTGCAACTGATTTCATATCTGATAACTCACACGGGACTCCTTTAGATCCAAGCTTACATCTTTTTAAAGTGTATCAGCAGGATATTTTCACTGAAAGCTGTATTTTTCTATTTTTGCAGCTGGCATTGGAAATTTCCTGTGAACATAAACACACTATACCTATCTATATCCAGTACTCAAAAATAATTGTATTAACAATTTTGTATGTGAATGTTGTTTTGCATGTAGAGGAGCAAAAGAGATTAAGTTTGTACCTTTTTATATGGAGATAAGCCATTAAAAAGTGGAACAGAAAAAATCAACAGAAGGATAAATATGGAGGCTAAAATTTCACAGAACATCATTAGACATCAAAGAATCTGTAAATAAATAAATAAATACTTCAGTGCACATTCAAGTCACGTTATTTCCTTGAATTACCAAGTTGTGTGCAAAGCAAGTGTTGGAAAAAAAAAATCTGTGAAAAAAATACAGTTGTTGGAATTTGGTACATATGGCTTTCCCTCTCTTCATTTTAAGTGGCTGAAAATACTGTATTTTCAGCTACAGTTGTTACATTTGCCTTGCTCTTTCAACAACTGATCCTCATGCTCACCTCCACCGCATCTCTTCTACGGCCTCAGTTAAAACAAATGACTGGTTCATGTGCCTGGACTCACGATGAAATAGCAGAGGCCTCTGACCAGAGAAGAATGAATACATATATGCAGGGGCAGAGGGTCAGTTAGAAGCTCTTAAATGCAATAAATTAAACTCCGAGTAAAATCATTACCATTTAACATCCTAGCTTATACACAGGGACTGAAAATGCAACTTTTGACTTTTTTTTTTTTTTTTGAAAAGTCTTTTAATGACTTCACCGGGTCCATGATTTTTCCCAGTATTCTCACCTTTGTTCACAAATGACACAGGAACATATTTCAAGCACCTAAAGTTGTCTGAAAGTACTAGTGACTACTTCTACCTAATAACTCTTCTACGTCTTGGTTTACTTTGTAGAATATGCTTATTAGAGTGTACCTTGTATGCATTTATATAGGACCACCTAAGATGAGTTTTTTAAGATTGCAAATACATTACCTCCCCATTTCTCAAGCATACCAAAACCCTCTGTCTACTCAAGGCAGATATTCACCAATTAAGCAAAGGGGGTTTTTTCTGCCAGGTTACGGTGCATGGAATAACATCTGATCTTACCTCTCCATTTTCCAGAGGGTGGATTTTGGAATAATAAGAAGTACATATGACTTCATCATCTTTTATATAGGATGGAGTTCCAGGACGGGGATGAATGTTGTAGCGTGTCAGGCATTCACTGTCTGTGATAGCATAATACTGCCATGGTTGATAGTCTACACCATCCAGCGAACGCTCTAATATCCAATTCCCAGGTCGAGGTGAGTTAGCTGCTTTCACAATAACATATGCAATCTGGAAAATCTGAAAAATAACCGAATCATTAAAATATATGTCAATACATAATTACAAATTCATTCTGATTTCTTAATAGGTACCAAACTAAGAACAGTAAATATAATAATGTTTGATTTTTTTTTTTCCCTAAAAATGCAGTATGGCCTCAGATTCCATTGAAAATCTTTAACTACAGAAATAAATTATCCATTAACGTTTCTGAAAAAAGATTAGTTGCACTAGGCCAATGGAGACTTTGAAAATAGAATTAAAAAGCACTCTAAATTTCACATAATTTAGTAGGTAATTGCTATGCTGCAGTTTCAGCCAAACATTTGCAAAGTTTATTTTCAAGTATTTTCAATTTGTAGAAGCGGGTTGGTTTCTGTATGTGTATTTATAGACATATACTTTCTGCAATGTTTAAGAGTTGCCAAACTCTTACAACTTTATCGCTGTTAAGAAAAAACATAGGTTTAAGCTATTGAAAGGTAATCACATTATGCTGAAATCATTCTATAAAACATTCTTGTTTCAATCACATGACTCAGCACTGTGGCCATAAATAAGCTTTATAGGACAGAGACACATCAAATATCACTATAAACAGAATGTAAGCATGTAATCAATGCTCATTATGGTCCATTTCACCTGCCTATTCAACTGATTTATCAAAGTTTATTTCTGTTTACAGGCTTGCTGGAATGCAAGCCACAAAAAATACATTTGCAATTGCAGAATGGCATACATTAGTGATGCAGTGTTGTTTCAGTTCAGTTTTTTTAACCTAGTAACATCTACATGCTACAGAGGTAGACTGAAGCTAAGGAAAGGAAACAGCTATTTCCATTAGAAAAGCAGAACATATAGCAAGTTAATATTTTTAAGATGCAGTGCTGTGAGTCTGCACATGAGGATGCCAGAGGGTGTCATAGAGAGAACAGTGTTATTTAATACTTAATGTTTTCAGTATCACATAGTCATTGTAAAGAAGCTGCATGATTCAGACTTAACTCCACACAAAATCTGTTGTGAATGCTTTGATAATCAGTAACGCTGGTAAAAGAAGATTCTACAGTAATTGATGAAAGAAACGTGAAGAAGACTCAAATTGGGTTTTTAATAACCACCAGTATTATGAAATAGAAATTATGTTAAGTGGCAGAGTGCTGCAAGTACTACAGTATATTTGATGATGGAAGTAAAGAAAAAGTTTATCTCCAATTGTCATTCCTCCCTTCTTTGTAGATGCTGAGGACATAGTAAGATCCACAATAGCTTCAGGCAGGAAGTCAAATCACTAACAACCAAAGTTTTTCAGTGGGAATAAGAAGTGGATGAGGCTGTATTTATTTCCACCTGAAAAACGTGTGTAACTGTGCATTCGTGGAGGATTATCTCAAGTTACCAATATTTTTCTTCAACAGCATAAAAGAAAATCTCCAGAGACAAGGAAAAACCTGTGTTTCATTCCATTGTTTCAACAGCAATCTTACAGTCACTTGTCCCCTGTTTCACAAATACCCTTTCCTCTCTTAAAGTCATTTATAGATATATGCCATTGTGGCCACAAATAACTATAACTGTAACTATACTGGATCAGTGTCACCAATACTGTTTACGATAAACAGAGAAAAACACAACATTAATATACCTCTTCAAGCTGTTCTCCCCCAGTTAAGCTCTTTGAAATGAAAGAAAATAGCTGGAGTGTTTAATTATTTATTATTTATTATTTTCTAAGGGAGGTAATGAGCAACAGCTATATTTTAAGGAACTAATTTATCAAGAGTTATTTTGTACATTGTCCTTTGCATGAGTAAAGAATCCAATGCACAACGTAAATTGTTTTTACACCTGCATGATCTACTCAAACCACATAAACTCTTACATCTCCAGCCGTTCAGAATAGAGATTTCATTCTAGAGTACTTCTAAATACTTTTTTTAAAAAAAATTAAATACTAAAAAAATTTAAATAAGTGTTTTACCCCAAGTTCTCATAATAAGACTATTCCTTATATGTTGGATGGATAACAACTAAAGTTAAACATATTGCTAGGGTTTCTACCATGGAAGATCTGTGGTTTAGGACATTAGCTGAAAATAAATTCATAATCTTAGGTGTACATATACAGTTTCCTTTGTGGAAGTCCTAAAAGTTGCAAAACTTCACAGAAGATTCATTTTAAATACTACCTTTAGCCAAAATAACACTTAGCTCTGCAAACATCTTGGATGCATTGGCTCTGTGGGGCCAAGAGGCATAATCAACAGGAAGTCTTTTTTTGTTTGCTTGCTTTGAAACACTAGGCTGTGTGGGAGAGTGAAACTTTCTACAGTTACTTCTCAAATTAGAGCCCTATTTCAATAACATTTCCTGCACATTCTGCTGAAGATTTGTTTGAAGTCTCATTTCTTATCTTCTGGGATAGCATACAGTTTGACTGCAATTTATTATATACCTTTGGCTTTGATTATTTTTAGCATACTTTGTAAATCAAACTGCAACAAAATTTTATAAAAAAAGCAGTGGAGAGGAAACAGTATATTGCAGGTCACAGCGGGGTGAACATTATTTCTCTTAATCTAAACTTGACAACGAAAAAAGCTTGTTAATGTAAATAGAAGAGTACACACAAAGGGCTGGTTTTAACTAATACTCAATTACAGGTTTTGGCCTGATCCAGTCTACTACTACTGTTCTAGCCTCTGAGAGTTCCTGTAGTGGCTTCTGCAACAGTGCCGAGCTATCTGCAACCCACTGACATGTGAAACATTCTTTTCCCCTTCACATCTCTATTCACGAGTGGAACTGAAATACTCTTTTGTATAAACCAAAATTATTTCCTGGGCAGAGAAAGAGAGTTGGAACTAAAGACTAGAATTTTTAAACGTTGGTAGGCTGTTAATGCTAATTGCAGTCAAGGGAAGATGAGCGAGCACATGCATCAAAAACATGCCCTAGTTGGTATTATTCCTGATCTTTCTCACTAAGGCTACGCTGAAGAAAGTACAGGATGCTAGTCCATGCTTCTTAGAAACACTTTTTCTTTCAGGGACAACCAGACTTGTAGAGCTTTAGCATGAATCAGGAAGACGGTTGTCCCAGCTTAGAGAGCTACACTAGTCATTACCAGTTCATTACAGTGCTATGACACTGACAATAAGCATAGTGTATTCCATGCTTTAATGTGCTTTCTAAACAAGTTGACAATAGCAACTAGTGCAGAAAAATGGACTAAAATTAATGGCAGCTGTATGATAATGCCCAAAGCAAGTCAATGTCATGGAAGCAACACTGACTTTCCGACCAATTGGAAAGCTGTCTTTGTCCAGGTACAAGGCTAACCCTTCTTTTATTGCAGAGTTGCTTAGCAAATGGTGTTCCAGTTACTATAATACAACCAGCTAGAGCTTAGTGGCATGAGAATACTAATACCAGTAAAGTCTAATGTATCACTGAGTTTTCCTGTATTTGTTTCCACAATCAAAAAAAAAAGAGAACCTGCTCAGCTTTCTGGAGACAAGTTTCCTAGTAAACTGTAATACTGAGCTCCTGTTCCCACAGGGTAATTGATGGAGCATGCCTGGTTTACTTTTCAGATAGCATCAACAGGCTGACATTTGTCAATTGTAATAATTGTACAACCTTAGAGCACATCTGGTTTTGTACAAGTCCAATACAATGTCACCTGGAGACCAAAGTTTGCTGATACAAATGTGAAAACAGAGCAATACCAAGCTGCCTAGTAGCACATAATAGTCCATTAACAGAGCCGCCAAAGTGCAGCTGGTACTTTTTTCTACTTGTCTGCTCATGTGACCATAGTGTAATTATGGGAGTGGGAGGGAAATAGTTTAAATAGTCCTTTAAGCTTTTCCCAAATTATAGACAACATAATCCTCAAGATGAGAAACAGAATGAGTCTTGGGTCTCATTTTCACTGGTAATTGTCTCAGCAGTGAGATCCGTGAAGCACATATTGTGAGGAACAGTTCCATAAGTTATAGCACTGTATCTTCTTATGAATGCCTCATAAGACATAGAAAAGTGCATCCTACTATACAGGATAATTTGCTACACTAATATTATTCAGATAGAGCTGAAGTGAATCATTAATCTGCATAGGGTTAGCTAGTGAAGCAGGAAATCTCATTGTGTCTGACTCCCACCTGCACTTCTACTTAAAACATAAATCCTTCAGTTAGAAACCGTTCATGTAAGTCAGTATAAAATCAGAGAAAAAAATACAGTACCACACAATCCTATACAAGTATTTCCATTTTATTTTCCCAGCAATAGAATGTAATAGCTCTAATGGAGGCTTCCATCAGCAATCTTGTGTAAACTGTGTATCTACTTATTTGCTGTAATTATATTATGTTGTTGATTATTATTCAGTTCAGTGGTCAAGTAAACATTTTATTGAGAAGAGTGCAGAATTTGGGCACAGGTTTGTTTCCTTACAGACTGGCATAAATACTGTTGAAACTTGTGGCCTTAAACATCCCATAGATTTATTTAACCAGACATTCAGAAGTGCTGTTAGGGACAGCGAAGCACTACAGATACCCCTTGTCCCAGTGCAAAATCCATCCGGATGAGTCAACTGAGAAAGCTATCTCAGAACGCTCCACAAGCCAGTGGGGGTTATTGGCTACAGGGGAGTACAACTCATTTAGAAAAGCAGGAGCAGGAACATTTTTGCAGTGTGTAAAACATCACGCATCTCAAATTAAATATCACATTTGCACTATTTTTCATTTTGGAATAGCCTCTGCTTCGACAGGCTGAAGATATGGAACAGACCAAATCCAACTACTTCTGCTAATGAGCTGAAGCGCACACAGGTTTTGTGAGTTTGAGAAACAGCTCCTCTTGTTCTCAGAGGCTGATATCAACTCCTTATAATTCTATGTGGTCAGTCACATTTCAATGCACATATGCTGTTATGGATTATTGTTTGTGTCTTATGTATGAAAGAGTAGACAGCTTTGATGCAAGAATTTTCAAACAATTGGCTA